TGTAATATGAGAATACGATTCCAAATTGAAAAGCACAATGTTACCTTTCGATAAGCCTCGATCTCAATCGCAGAGGCGTTGAACTCGATCTCAATCTCGATCTCTAATTATAAAACAGTAGGCGGAGAACTCGAACTCGAAGAGGGATTCAGAAGGGAATTATGAAAAAGTAGGCGGTGAACTCGATCCCTCATAAGTAATTATATACAGGGTGAGATTTACTTTTTTAAAAACTTCTTAATTTGGAAGAAATTTTATTTTATTTTTTTTCGCTTATTTCTATAACGGCTAATAATCTTTCAAATATAAACGTAGACTCATTCGAATTTAATTGAATTTCTCTGAATCGGCAAAAAAAAAAAAGAACGGTTATCATGAAAATATAGTTTTTTTTTTTTTTTTTTGGTAATTAGCGGAAAAATAAGATGAATTATTCTTACTGGATTTCAGTAAATTGTTAAATATTTCACATAATAATCAATTAGTTTAAGATTTCTCATAATCATTAGCGAGTGATTAATTATTTAGGTGTTGTTTAGAAAATATTAGATTTAAATCAAAATCCGGATTTTGTACATTTTTAAGGTGATTAAATCTCAAAATGTGTTTGAAATGATGAATACGCTGTTAAATTTGTGAAATTACTTGGTATTGTTTTCTGTTTTTGGGATAGAGTAAAAATATAATTTTAATACTAAATTTTGATGACTCAATTTTTACGACTAATTTAGTTTATTTTAATTTAATATCATTGTAATTATATTAATTATTAATTATTAACTTATTTAGTTAATCAGATATTAGTTTCTATTTAGTGAATTTTATTAAGCATATTATAAATTATTTAACTTTATATTTAAAAATTTAGTAACAATTATCAATAATCAGAATTCTCAAATTTAATAAGTGCGCTACTTTGATTAAAATTTGGGGAGGAACTTGATTATGTTTACTGTTAAATTTAAATTCTGCACCCTATAAATTATATCATCTTTCTCCTATTATTGAATATTTTGAGAAAAGTAAGATTTTCCGACGCAAGAAAATGCATTCGCAAATTGCCAACCAAAATAAAATCTGGTAAAATAAATATGGAAGAACCGATAAACAGAAAAAAAAAAAAAAACTTAATGACAATCATTCGATAATCAGATGAAAATTCCAATACAATGAGCTTACCCGACGCGATTCAAAAAGAAAAAAAAATGGAGCATAATTAGATGAGATAAAACTCTGTGGTGCATACTGGAGGCCATAGGATGAGCAGTAGATGTGATTCCTTAATTCAGGGAGAGTTGTAAGTAAGTATATAAAGGATGAGGTTTTCCTTTTTAAGACTTACTTAATTTGAAATAAATTTCATTGGCTACCAACCTTGCAAATATGAACCTCCCATTTTGAATGAATTATTCTTACTAAATTTCCATAAATAGATAGGGGTTGTTTATGAATTGATTCTATTTCAAAACGTGCATAATTAGGTTCTCTACTTTGATTGTTGAGTATAGTTTAAAATCAACTAATTTGCATAATTTAATTGCTTTCTAAAGCTTGTTTATTTATCAATCAAAGTAAACAATAATCAGTTCTAAATAGGTTAGCTTCCTTTTTTAAAGGCAGTTGATCATTATGAAATATGTTTATATATTTAGACATTTTCAAAAGTACATCTTTTTTTTTTGTTTTGATTTGCAAAAATGATACCATACAATGAGACCACAAGACAATTGTTTTGTTCACCTCTAAAATAACTCGAGCATTTAGTATTATAGTATTATTTCTTTTTTTTTTTTACAACTACAGAACTCTTGAGCTTCATGAAATTTTTTAAGCTATAAGTTTTGGATCTAAAAACCTTGGAAGATACCACCCATAAAGACAAGTCTATGCTTTATGATTTTTTAGTGAATTTAATTAATCATGATTTAAATTCAATAAATATGCAAAATTCTCAAATGTAATAGATATGCTACTTCGACTAAAATTAGGGGAGTAGCTTGGTAATATTTACTGTTGAATTTAATTTTTTTCTATATAAATAATAAATTTTTCTGTTTAAATAATTTAAGTATTTGAGGAGTAATTAGCTTGGTGGTAATGAGAATAATTTAATATAAGTCCTACCTTCATAGTATTATTGTAGCAAACAAACATATAACCCTCCAGAATCTTATTCCATGGCGATATAGCAGTTGATGGAAAAAGCTCGAAACACTCGTTAGAATAGCTGCATGATATCATCTTTGTCATATTATTGAACATTTTGAGGAACATAAGATTTTTTGCGCAATTAAATGTATTCGTCAATCGAAATAAAACCTAGTGGAATAAATAGGGAAGAACCGATAATCAGATTAAAAAACAAAACTTAGTGGCAATCATTCGATAATCAGATTAAAGCCCTAATAAAATGTGCTTACCAGACGATATTAAATAAAAATAATTGGATTAGTCAGGAAGAAACGCATAGTTGGATAAGATAAAAATCTGGTGCTTACCGAAGGCTAGAGGGTGAACAACAGACGTACTGTTCTAATTGAGGGAGACTTGTAAGTAATTATATAAAGCATGAGGTTTCCATTTTTAGGACTTAATTTGAAATAGATTTCAACGGCTACCAACCTTCCAAATATAAACCTCACGTTTTGAAGTTTTGAATGAATTATTCTTACTAAATTTTTAGAAATCGTCAAGTTTTTCACGTGATAATCGGCTGGCTTAAGACAAGGAGGAGTTACTAATTGTATAGGGGCAGTTTACCAATTCATACCATTTTTAATCCTGTTAAATTTTCTGAAATTGTTTGGGTGTAATTTGGTTAATTAAAATAAAATTTTAAGACTAAATATTACGACTGATTTAATTAAAATATAAATTTTTATACTAAATATTGATGAATTATTAGTATTTTACCATCACAAACATTTACTTTACAACCGAACACAAAATTATCAATCTCATTTAAGTATTAATTATTCAATTTAATTTTTGTTAATTTAGTCTTATTGTAATTTAAAATAACATTAAGTGAAATTTGTGAAATTAATTGGCCTTTTTTTTATAGAATTTGGTCTGCAAGAAAAAATTTTAAAACCAAATCTTGATGATTCAATTATTACTACTAATTTAATTTATTTTATTTAATATCATTGTAATTGTATTAATTATTAATTTATTTAGTTAATCAGATATTGATTTCTGTTTAGTGAATTTAATTAAACATAATATAATTTATCTAAGGATTAAGTGAAATATCACATTGTATTCCATTAAAGCTTTGAATTCGGGAAGGCGAACATGAACTCACCAAAGCTTTCATGAACTTGTCCACGATTAAAATTAGGGGAG